ATTTAATGCTGTTCTGCTTCGGGCATTGCACAAAAGGTGACCGAGTTGCATGAATAGTTGCGCGTTTGCCCATTGTATGTCGAGAATAACTTAATACTTGGAACGATCGAATAAAATAGAAAACAAATTGCATGTGCTTGATAGAAATAGCTTGATAGAAATATTTGGTAAAATTATAATCTTGTAAAATAAATATAATTTACAACAAACTACACAAAAAAATAAAAAAGCCGATAACTGCTCTACGACATTAAAACATTTCAAATTCCAAACTTCAAAAAATCAGTTTCAAAAATACATTAAGATAAAATTAACAAATATCCATTAATAAAACATCGAATAAAAATAAAGATATACTTAGCAGAATAGAATAGAATATTTATCTTCAACTTACATCAATATTTATTTCTTTCTTCCTTTTCCGTACGAAAATTTCACTAGCCTCCTTACATCCTGTCCTGTTCTTACTTCAGTCAAATTTTCCTTTCTTACATATTTGGAACTTTTATTTCCTATGTCAAACTTCTTATACCTTTCATTGTATTTCGTTGTCCTTAACTTGTTATCTTCCCATTGCCTTATTGAGCATCTCTTTCCCCCTTAATTATTTCTTCTTCTAAACTCTCATAATTATCTCCATTAAATAATTCCACTGCTCCGATACTCCATCCATTCTTTTTACAAAAGCTTCTCTTTTTCTATAAATCCTCCCACTTGTATTCCTCCTTTTCTTTCTAACAGCTTAATATACTATCTGTCTGTTTTCTTAATCCTCCTCTCGTATTTTATGGCCCTTATTCCTCGTCCTAACCTCAGTTTATCCATAGCAAGCTCTCTCATTATCACATACCTTGGCATGCAGAAATCTATACCGAAAATCCATCTTACATAATCCAGCATAATCTTCTCCAGACTTTCCCTCGTCTCTCATCCCCATATTTTAGCCCCAAATGCTATAACGCTCTGTACCAAGTATTTGAAAAATGCCTATCTCCTTACATAACTCTTACATACCCCTGCATAATCTTTCCTCTAAATCTTCCATATCTTCCTGGTTGATGTATTTAGTAAAATATTTTGCCTAGCTTAAAGTTAATATTGATCTTTCTCTTTAATAATTGACTTTACGCGTTGAGCAACGACGGAGACTTCGGCACTGTTATCCGAATTAGCTCGTTAATTGCTCTCGACATTTTCCTTTAGCGCCGGCTGACTCTGCGGAAAACCAGCTCCCGGCTTCGCGAAATGAATATTTGTCGCGGAAAATTAATATTTCCGCAAAGTTTCTTTGCGCTCGCCGCCGGGAGAAATCAAGTTTGATACACGATGCCATAGAGGATCACAAACAGCGATATTAATGAAGAACAAAAGTTTCAAACTAACGCTCTAACTTTTCGGCAAGTGTTGACACGGATAAAAATGAAGAAACAACAAAGTTTTGAATCATTTTAATCGAAAGAAGAACAACGTATGCATCCGCTTTTCTTTTTCTGCATTAAATTATACTTTTAATGCTGAATATAATTATCAGAACATTATACAGAAAAAAAAACAGCTTTGCTAGAGTATAAAGTACTAAAGAGCTCAACATTCGAATAAGTTGTAGATAATATAAATCAAAATGATTTTAACATGGAAACGCTCGTTAAAAGAGTAAACAATATAAAGACCTATAAAAATTAAATTAAAATCAATTAACTCTAAACAAATTTAAAAACAATACATGTCATTATTGGCAATAATGAAATATCAATTTAAAAGCCTCCAGTAATTGTAAAGGTGAAAATATGATTGATGTTGCAACGCGAATACGCGAGGCAATATCCGCAATAAATTCCATCACAATGCAATCTAACACTTTGAACTGCAGGATGCACGAACCTGGATATTCATCATCGCGCAAGTCACTATATTTCACGACGGTTCATTGATTAAAAACGATTGAAAGATATCTAGAGACGCGTAAGCCAATGTCAACATACGAGATGGTGGATTCTCAATCGCGGAATAGATCTAGTCTGGAACGGAAGGCTAAATCGAGATGTTCATTGATGTTAAATAACCGTGACAATTGTACGATCAGAATAAATCTCTTTAATTATTGTCTAATTATTACAGTCTAATTACTACAGTCAAATTACATTTCAAAGATTATGTTTGATGTTAATATTAAATTGCTTGGTAATTTAATTGATATATTACATAATTTAGCTACAGTTTAGTCGGTTTTGAAACTGTGTTTCAACAAATAATCGGTGCACAGTTTGCATAAGCTGAAAATTATAAAACGCGCACAAAAAAATATTATTAGACACCAAGACTCACCTTGGCTGAATATAGCCTTCTTCGCTTCATTATGTTGATTATGTTTGATTTAGAATTTCGTTCGTAGAATAAAGTTTATACGTTTTAGTTGAAATAACGTGTATAATATTGCTGCACACGCCGAATAGTAAAATGCTGGCGATAACTACGTGTCAGTACATGGAACGAATATTCATGCTCGATCGAATAAAGACAGATACGTTGCAAATTGACAGCCATCGTGCAACGGAACAAATTACAATTAAAGTCATACCAATCGAACGAATTGAGAACGGTCAAAGAATTTCACGTGATCTGTCTCATAAAACTAGGATTTGCGAGGGATGATGTTTTACTGAGGATAGATTTTCTTCATGTCACGCGAAAGTGAAGTATTATATGGACAGTTAATATACACTTTGACAGTTTACAGCTTCGATTACTTTTTGTTATTAGCCAATTTGTAAAATATAAAATATATCGAAACTTCTCCGAAGATTAAAACTTCATTGAAATTGCTGCAGCTATATTGCGTGATTTCAAATGACGAAAAACGAAGAACAGCTTTTCGAGCGGAAATCTTGCAGACTTGATTGTCGCATAATAGAGAGGACAATCGCAGCTGACTAAGTTAGAAGTGCGAGAAAGTACAGGAGACCGAAACACGCCTGCGGGGTCGAATATATCGACTCTGAACTATCTGAAATCTAGTTTCGTGAGAAACTCGATAATCTAAAACTTTCATGCGTGTGCTCGCTGTTCATCGAACTTATCGATATACGCAAACGTTTATTTTATTGGATTGGAGAAAGTATACGGCAAGCAAAGATAATTACTATTCACCAGAAAGTTAGATATAAAAGTTGCTAATTAATATTTATTTTCTATAAATAAGCTTTTTTCATAAAAATTTTCCTTGTACGAATACTTTTTGCACTCATTGTATGATAAACTCAGATAAGAAGAATGAGGAAGTATGTGTAATTAAACATTAAAAGGTCCTTAAAAACATTTCGTAATGTTTGAAAATAAAAATGCGTTATAATACATAAATACTGGCTATTATGTATTGGCATGTTAGCGTTATAATATAACAACGAGTAACTGAATAAATAATTCTATAATTATAATTTTAGAATTCGCCATCTAATACCGAAGATATTAAGAGAGGCTATTATATCTACACTAACCATAATATCCTTCTCTTTATTATTCATTAATCATTATAACATAGTTATACTAAATTCAGACGGACATAATTTTGAAATTACCACTAAAATTTTGAAGCCCTCTATGATTTTCATGAGACTGAAATATAATAGACGCGTAAATGAATGTATTTGCTTTTCATGTTAAACAGCTTGACGCAATAATTAGGTGGCGGATTAAATTTTAATACAATCCAAACACGATCTATGCGTCGCGCAAATGTGTAGGAGACAGGTCCCCTTTCCCATAATGTGGTCAAGCAGAAATCAACGAGAAACAGAGAAAGGCAGATAACGATAGCGATTACTCTGCTTGAAAGAGCAGTCGCGGAGGAGAACGTAGTTGAAAACGGGACTGACGTCTATTGTTTTCTCTGACGACGGTATATCTGATGATTGTTCCTCGAGATGTGCATATGACGTCAAAATTCGCGTGGTTGTTAGATTTATAATTTATATATGAACCCAGAGACAGAGAAGAATCGCGTCATACATTTGATTAAAAATAAATCCGTGAGAAAACTGAGGTTTTTTACGGTACATCTGCGCATATCTCGATGCTCTCTTCTTATATTCCAAAGATGAGAGAGAGAAAATAAAATAATTTTAACCAAGAAAATATAATTTACGAAATACTACAAATTAGTATTCTTTTCTATTTTCATTATGTTATTGATTTATGTTATGATTTTAGTTTTACAAATAATAGTTGTACAAGAATTTTATAATAATAATTTTTCTCTCTTGAAATCATCTTTAAAATTTACATATAGAAATTTATAGGAAAAGCAATATGATGTAAAAAATAAAATTATCTAAAAAATATATTTCTATCTAATTTAATGAATTGACTTCTCCAAAATTATACCTGCAATAATTGCCGATAACAATTGCCGATAACAAAGATATTATTTGGATATAAACGAGATTTCATCATACAGATAGGTAATACATTTTCATCGCAATGAAAACATATACGTACGTATCTGTTTACACGTTTAGACTTTTAGACATATGATGAAAAAAAAAATCTGAGTAATCTTTACAAAATAATTCTTCATTCTCTTCATTCGATGCGTCAAGGCGACACCGAACAAAGGAGCTAATATAAACAGGACTGAACAAGCAACAAGCTCGATACCTTCAATATGCACACCACGGCTTGTTTGCATTTGTTTATTCATGATATGAGCTATGGAACACGTTGCCATCGTGTTGTTTCCCAGATTCTACGCATGTTCATTCTATAAGACAAAACAAAACGTCGTCGTCCTAGTATTTGAATTTTCTATCTCGTATATCTTCATTTCATATTTTTATAAATAAAATAAAATTTTATTGTTAATTATTTATTTAAAAAATTCCACATAAAAATGTATGTGATTTAATTTTTTATCAAATATTTATGTAGTCTACATACAAGTACGCAATAAATTAATTTAAAAGTAAATTATAAAATACTAGGTAAAAATATTTCCTTGCTTATAGAATGCCGACAGATGTGACCGGGGGCCCAGGACTCGCAGTAGTGGCAGGGGATGTTCTTACCCTGCGAGGCACAGGACTTGCTGCTGCAGAAACGTGGGCTCTCCTCTGCCAAGCAGCCCAGGCCCTCCAGGATCTTTTTCTCTCAAGTAAGTAAAAAAAATTATGTATTTTATTATATATAATCCACGGCATTATCTGTGATGAAATATTTCTATATAATTCGGACACGTTGTTTTTAAAGGTAAGAGGAAAAATCAAGCAACAATAAAAATAGATGTCTCTGATAAACTATTATCACTAATAATTAATATTTCATATAAACAATATATTTATTGTTCCAATTTTTATATGTTTAAAGAAAAAGATAATCACGTTGTTATACTATATTTCACGTATTATTAGTTATATATTTAATATTATTACTATTTCACGCATTATTAATATATAAGTAATAAATAATAAATTATGGTTCGCTCGTTTTATGCAAAGCAAATTATGTATTATTATATAAAAGTCAATGATCGAGCATAAAAAGAAACTTATAATTAGTTAAATTTCTTAAATACAACGAACGTTTCGGACCACGGGTCCTTCTTCAACATGTATGAAATTTCTCTTAATGTACAATAATAAATAATAATTATACACGCTGTATTTTAATTGTTATTGAATAACGGATGTATAAATTTGAAAAAAAAATGCGGACTAAATTTTAGTAAAAAAAAAAATTCCGGTACCGGGAATCGAACCCGAGCCTCCTGGGTGAAAGCCAGGTATCCTAGCCACTAGACCATACCGGATTATATTGACTGTCTGTACAAATTTGATACTAGAAGTGAGAAGACATTCGTACTAAACATGTAATAAAAATTATATATAATAAATATTTCATTATATAAATTGTTTTTAACAATATCGAAAAAAAAAATTTCCTAATGGTAAAAATTTAATAAAAAATTAATTTTTTTTTAAATCTAATGAAAAATTGATTTAGTTTTTCTCTCTTCATTTCTCGTATTTTTTTATATAAAAAAATTCTCATAATTTTAATTCTCGTAATATTTATTGTTGAAAATACATGTAAAATATGATCATCATATTTTACGTATATTGTTACTCATTCCTCTTTCATATTTCCTACTTGGGACTTACACGGATCTTTTCTGCTTTCGAGAGTATAAAGCAGTCAAAGATGATCCGTCCACAAATCCTGGAGGCTTTTCAGAAAATATTGGTCGAATTCACCACGAGCTTTCACTACATGTGACAACACAGCTTAACATGTTCCAAATACGAAATATTGTATGAAACTTCATCGTGACTGTACCATTTCTAATTTAAAAGGAGAATAAAAAAAATAAAATTTGAATGCAACAAAACAGTTACAAAGATCAATAATAAAAACAAAGAGCGATAAGAATCGACACAGAAGACGATGCGTATTTGGCTTAATAAATAAATTTAACTTTAACAATAATTATATATAAAATTGCAAAGATAAAAACAGCATGACGCACTGTCACGATAAAGTTTATCACTATTTTTTATCTTTGCGCCTTTATATAACCATTGCGTTGTTAAAATTATAAATACGCATCGTTTTCTACGCCGACTCCTATTGTCCATTTTATTTTTGTTATTGTACTTTTTGAATTTCCTTCAACAATTCAATTTCAAATTCTTACAATCGATAAACTTGTATTGCGAATGAAAAATTTATTGATAATTATCAATGTCTCTTAATTTTATATCACTATACTGTTATGAATTTAAACAGAGAATAGAATTTTAATCTCAATATTTGTTATTATTGAAATATAACAAATTCCAGAATTTCTAACACAAAATTTTATTTTGCAACACTCATTAATGATAAAAAGCTAATATCGCCCATAGTATCATTTCATAAAAATATTGCTATTTACATTTTCAATCCCTTCGATAGCGATATAAAATATCCCTCATGGAAGAAATCCGTATTTCTGGTGGAAACAACGAAATGTTACGCACAAAAATATTTTCGCTAAATACATTGAACATGTCTTCACGAATTATTATTATTTCGTCATCAATAATATTTATTATACGTAATACGCGCACGATTATGTCAACCTTCTCTTTATTTGTATTTAAGATGCCCGAAGGGTCGAAGCGAGATACAATGTCATGATCTGACAAGGCAATTCTCTTATATGGTATCTTCTTCTATATTCGATTTATTTTGCGCATCGACAGCCATCACAAAAAATGCCTTCTGTATGACAAGATGCGCTATAAAAATCGTATCCATTTACCTCATCTATCCGCTGGCGCCAAAAATCTTCGGCGATCGAGTTACATGATTGATGATGCATCAAGAACTTAGATAAAACCTTTTTCCCTCCTAAGAAAGAAAAACAACGAAAGCTCATTTATCGAATTAAGCCATTGGTTCTACCTTCCATTCGTATCGTATAATTTGCATTACGTAATCAATTGCCGTAGCATTTGTCGTTTGGTACAATAATACAAAATATAAAGCGGATATACATAAATTTTTCTAATAAAATAGAATATGCAATTGCATAAATTAAAACATGCAATAGAATACGTAATAAAATAGAATATACAATTCGACGTCCCGGCAGCGAACATTAATCACGGACATCTATTGTACGCTTCATCATTACGCTTAATTATATATCTTATTACGCAATTAATAATACGTATACCAATTTATTGATTATCGTGCGAATAGGTGGAAACTGCACGACTGCATTTTGTGTATGACCGTATGTTTGCTTTGCAAATAAATCACGAAACACGTAAATTCCATCCAATTCCATTTCTAGCTCTTTTGTCACGCAGCCATTTTTATTATGCCCAGCGGGAAGCCGACGCCCCGGCAACCATATTATAATACCATTTCATAATAGCGCGATCAGAGAAACCGCAATGCGCTCGTTAACTAAATTCATTAATATTTCGCGCCGTTTTTTCCCCGTACTGGAAAAATTCACAATGCATCTGGCGCCGTATACGCGTCATATACCATATCGCCGCTCTTTGCCGATTCACGTTCCCTGTGGCGATGAGCAAATTTATCATTCGCGCGAGATTAACACACTTTTGAGATGTACATTACTGTGAAAATTACGTTACTGCGAGCGAAATGAAGATGGCTCGACTTAGCGCGACGCGAGACAAACATTTCTCGTAATATAAAATAATATCTTTAGAAAATATGAGACTTGACTGTATAAGGAGAAAGCTCGCGATTTGTTCATCTAAATTTAAATTTCTTAATTTAAATGTGAAATTTGTTCGTCTATGTTTAAATACATCGGTACAGCGATGAGAAACTGCTAACGGAATCCGAAATGGAATATTACGGACAATGCATTCCAGAAGGATCGATAATATCAAATCTGGACAAAGGACAAAGGCCAAGAGGTCGGTTCAGCCGCGAGTATCGCGACGATTACGACCATTAAATATTCAATAATCACAAACCGTGTCGAGAGAGAGGCGTCAAAGAGAAGCTGCTAATCGAGTAATCGACGACGCTGTCGCAGAATTAATCGCATCATCGAGCAAAGCCACTGTTACGGTAATTAGCTTATCCGTAAAGTTCCCCTTGTAGATTGAACAACTTTCCTATATAGATATAAAACACACACACACACACACACACACATACACACATTTTGCGGTATTATTTTTAATGAGATATATCTGTAACAGAATCACTCTCGAATTACTTTCTCATTGCTCCTGCAAGAAATCTAGGAAAATATATATATATATATATATATATATATATACACACACACACACACACACACATCTCGAATCTGCTGTACTCCGGTAATAGGTTACAAGGCAATAATAATAAGAAGTAACTTTAATGATGTACAATTACGAAGAAAAAAAATTATATAAAAATAAAGCAGAACGTAAAATAGGAAGAGAGATGCTCAATTAAAAGATGAGATATCAGCAATACTGCTGCGTACACTGAGACAAATGTCTGGTTGAAAATGACAAATCAGAATATTCTGATTACAACAATCAGAATTTCAGTTATCTCAGCTAGAAGTCCAGTAAATTTAAGAAATCGTCCATTTTCAATCAGAATTCCAATTAATCCAACGAGACATTTTTCTCGTAAGAAACTTTCTTTCAAAGCTAGTTCTTGAAAATTTCCAAGAAGTGTATTTCTTAAAAATTTGTGAATGATTCAAACAGAATGTATATTAAAGTCTTTGCTGTCTAATAAAAGCTCGAAAAGAAAGAATATCTCGAAAATATCGTTGTGGCTTGATACATATTCTTTTAAGAACTACTTAAATTTAATATGATTGATACTTCTACTTGGATTGCAAAAGTATCAAGAAACATCATAACATTTATTAGTATCGATGATATCCGGGGGGGGGGGGGGAATAAAGATTTGTGAAACAGTAAATTACAGAGGTCAATATAAGTTTTACACTTTTTGCTTGACAATGCTGGCATCGAACTTAACTAATGGAGGCAGTGAAGTATGGATAGTGAAGGCTAAGTAACCGCGATATATCTTCGGTATCGAAATATCCATCAGCGTCCCCTTCTCTTGGCATCGCGCGAGATTAAACGCGTCAAGCCGCGCTCAACATTGCACCAGACTCTCATTCTTGACTAACATACGCGCGGCTTAACAGGCGTGTTTACAATGTCGGCAATTCGGACCCTCCAGTTTCTCTCCCCTGATATAGCCGTGAGGTATCCTGCACGCGATTGCGATGCCGCATAGCATGACTCACGAGCGCCGTATAATAAGCGGTGCATCGTCGACACCACCGGGGCCCCAAATCCCAAGAATTCGTCCTTGCGTTTAACTCTGAAAACTGAAAATTCATCTTGTTCGTTGATTTTCAACATACCACGAATGCGAGATTTCTCGAAAATCTTCAAACAAATTCTCTGAGAAATTTCAAATCTTGCAAGAGATTACTGGATGTAGTGTGATAAAATATTTAGAGTATCGTGAAAGAGATAGCGATAAAGACAGATAGAAGGAAGAGAGAGAGAGAGAGAGAGAGAGAGAGAGGAAGAAAAATATTTTATAAATCATAATTATTATTACGATTTATAAAATATTAGTAAATATCATTAATATCAGAAT